AGAGAGAGAGAGAGAAGGGTGATCTCCTGATGTAGCAGCAAATCAAGGTGGACATGGAATTTACCATACTAAGACTTGAAAGAAAAGCTTTCTTAGTTGTGGACCTTCCAAAGTCCAGATATTTACAGGATGACCACCCCCCTCCCCCAAGAAAAACGCCCTTTCTCCTCTCCAAGGCATGGAAATGGAAAAACCTAATGAAGAATCACTACAAATTCAAACACATCTCTAGTAGTAAACTTGATTGAGGAAACTTATCATGGAAATCTCAGTGGTTTTTTAATATAATGTGTGTATGTAATAATTTATATCGTTCTTCTGATTCTTTGATTGTTGCAAATGGAGACAGGTGAACCCTTAATGAATGGAGATAGCAGGAGAATTTGTAACGAGAAAAAATTATCTGACTGTTGATGAAGGATTGAAGCAGCCTTTTGCTGAGAGGTTCATTTAATTCTGTACCTTACGGTTTCTCTCAACCCTGAACTTGTAAGATTTTAAGTTTGAAGACACATACTTTCTATCATTCTTTTACTGTTTTTCATGGATGGCTGCTTGTTTAACACCTGTTTCCTAATATAAGATGTTTTGAATTGATTAACCCAGCTCTCATCCATTGAAGGAATTTCTAAATCATGCACATTTGAAAGCATGAATCATATATTGTCTAATTTGAAGACACATGCTTTTCTGTCATTCTTTGACTGATTTTCATATATAGCTGCTTCCTTAACTCTTGCTACTTAATACAAGATGGTTTGAATCAATTAACCCAGATTTTGTTTCAATGGAAGGAATTACGATGTCTGGCACCTTGAGAGTATGTATCTTATATTGCCTGATTTTCAATGATGGCTGATTATCTCTGCCCTGCCCAGATGAAAAACAAAAAATCTTGTTTCCCTATTGTAGCAGCAGGAGCAGAGTTGTGGAAATTTAAAGAGTGACCTGTCCAATCGGGTGTTTAAAATTTGCGATATTGCCGCAGGTAGAGCAAGGACATATGGATTAAGGGTATTGCAGATGTATTGGAAATACCGGAAGGTATAGCAAGGAGTCAAGGACCAGGGTTTGCAGAGAGTCCTCGTGGTGATTCTAAAGGGTTATAAGGATTTTGCAGAGCAAGGAATGAGGGTTGTTTAGAAAATCCAGGCCTAAGGGCCAGTTTGGATGGAAGATAAAAAACAAAGCTTCACAATAAAAATTTTCTTTTTACCTGAATTAAAAAGTCGTTTTTTATTTATTTTATCTCAACTGCAGACTGTTTGGATGTGTATGTGAAAATATTAGAAGATCTTAAAAGGACATAAATCTTGTCGGTAAGACAGCTGAAATAAGAGAATTGGAGCTTGTTTTGGCCAATCTACAACCAAAATCATCATCTTTTGCTCATTGTTTTCAAAATCTTCATTTTGTAATTTGTCTATTCAAAATTTCCTCATGGTCTGTAATTTCCCAAAATTTTAATTTGGATTCATGGGAAAGTCGAAGAATCTGGAAAAACTAAAATAATATATGGCCCTATATTATGGATATAAAGAGCATGGATACCCATTTTAAATATGTTCTCTACCAAGTTCTGGCCAAACTTAGCAGAATTTCAACACCACACTATTGCATCAGCTATAAAATTCATCTCCCATCATATAGGCAATGATCAGACTTTTCCAAACTAGGGTTTTTGGAGTCTTTTCTGTCAGACTTTGAGGAGTTTCGATGGCCAGCTCCTTTGTTGAATTGCAAGCCATGGATAGTGTACAGGAAAATATTGGATTTGAGGATTTGATCACTGTTAGAGTTTTGGAGATATTTTGAGCACGAGGCATGGGGAGGGAGGGAGGAGGACATATCTATGCCAATAGGGGGAGCTAGATGGTTTTGCAAAGTTCCAAAGGGGTTATCCTTGGCTTGTCTAACTGTCTTTAGAACAAGGATGTAAGGGCATGAGGAGGGAAAAACTACCAATAGGTTGTCACTTAAAATGAAAAGTGTAACAACTAGATGCCACCAAAAATGAACAAACGTTTAGGTTATGCTTCATGCCATCAAATTTTGATCAAATAGTTAAAATACATGCCAGTGTAACTGTCTTGATAGTGCAGAATGACATATCAAGATTCCTATAGCTGATCCCAAATACCTGGAAAAAGGCTAGCATAATGATGATGTATACTACATAATATGTCACACAAAAAATATACAAATATTTATGAAGACTTAAAATGACCAAATAGCCCCTGAAATATGGAAGGGGTATTTTTTGTTATTTTTACTATTAAAAATATTGTTTACATTTTTATATGGTATGTGATAGCATCAAGTAGATACACCACTTCAACTTAATCCTATTTTGTAAAAAAAGAATAAAATTAAATAATAACATACATTTTTAACTATCTGGTACAGATATGAAGAATAATAGGTTTAGGTGACAATATATATATATATATATATTAAGCAAATGAAACAAGCCTATCCTAATGCTACTCTTGCTGATTTAGAAAAAAAACTTTTTGGAATATTTGATGAACCTTCTACAGTACCGGCAACATCAGAAGAAACGGTCCAATCCGGTAATCCCTTATTACTGGAGGATTTCAGTCAAAAACCAGACTCTGAGGCCCATGCCCATTAAGCTCAAGAAAATATCCCAATTATCCATAAAGCACACCTGATATGACTCTTTCCCAATTATCCATAAAGCAGACCTGATATGACCCTTTGAATAGTAAAAAATAGGATTCCTTCACTTGATAAGACTCCTACACAGTATAAAGCAAGCAAGCACAGTAATTAGATTCCTTTTCTGATATGACTAAATATTAATCAAATCAATCCCTTGTTCTTCGAACATCAAAGCGTCCACGTGTCCCCAATAAATAGTACCATAATTGTCTTTTATACTAAAGCAAGATCCTCACCGACCGCTGTTGTTTTATTCACTGCCACATAGCATCCCATTCCACCAAGCTTTCATCACCGACACTATTAAGACTTCCTCAGTCACAAATGCAGTCTTCCTTATCTACAAAGGCATCTTCCATCATATCACCATCCTCCCAGACGAGCATCTTAGTCCACCTGGCAGCCATGACATTCGATTCCGTCTATAAAACCCCATCTCCGCTAAAGTTGAAGGGCAGAGAATAAGGAAACCTCACAACTACATCAGAAGGCCTTCTTCAACATTCCTCTCTTATTTTTCTCTGCTATTCTCTTTTTCTTTTCTACTACAATAGGCTAGCTTTCTATCAGTCCTGTATACACCGTCTACTACAAAGTCAGTAACTTTTATTCTTAACTTCATGTGTGATTGTAATTTCTCTTTTCTCCCTACTTATTGTCCATCAGAATGGAAGTTGTTTAATAGCTACTGTTTATGTCAACAGTAAGTTTCATGTAAACATAACTATTCCATTGTAACAATATGTATTGATGTTATAGTTATGAAATGCAATTGAAATTAGTTTTCAGTATTAAAATTAGAAATTCAACTCATACCTCTTGGATTATCTTAGACGTTTCTATTATTTTTGCTATCTTCATAATATTTTTATTCTTCTATTATATAGGAATTTTAAGACAATTAATTAACTATAATTATGCTTTATTCATGTTTTTAAGATAATAAAGGTTAAGATTTATGCAAAATAAATTAGGGTAGATCTTGGCGCGTTTATGGTATCAGAGCCAGCCCTGTTCACACCTGTTCACTGTCTTAGTAGAGAGTCACTAGTTTCAAGAACAACTTCATCATAGGAAATCTAAGAAAATTATCCATTAAAGAAAGTTGGTCCGAGAATTGAGGTCAGAGACACTCAAACACCCAGTCTAAAGACCGTTAAGGCCAGGAGAGCCGCTGAGGTCAAAACAGACATAAGAGGTAGTCAAGGAGGATTGTCCAGACAACACTCATCCGCAACCTAATAATGGAAAATTTTATTAGAAATCTTACGGATAAAGCGGTTGGACAAACTAGTAATACTCTAAGAATTAAGAATAAAGAAGAAGTGATTATAAATGATATTGAAAACCAAATACAAAATTGGAATATACCAAAAGTACCTATATCTAACGTATATAGAAAAGGAACATTCGATTTAAAAATAGGCTATGCTATAAAAACTGTAGAACAGACCTTGTTTGTTACTAATAACTAAGAAGACTTTCAACTTCTATCAAATAAAATATTACAAGTACATAAAAATAAAAATTATAAATATCTACATATTGGGTTAATACAAATAGCAATTAAACCATTAACAAGATTAAGACTTAATAATTCTGTTCTTGTATGCCTAAGAGATACAAGACATAATAGGTTTTCTGATTCATTACTTGGAATGGTAGAATCCAGTCTTTGTAGTGGACCAATATATTTTAATTGTTTCCCTAATTATTCTGTGTCTTTAACAGATCCTAATATATTAAATGTATTTTCTTTAAACCTTAAAACACAAGGATTTGATATGATGCAAGGATCCCAAAATATTGCAATAATTTATCGTATTTATTATACAGTCATGACAACCCTATGTCCTAATGTTCTTCAAATAAATACAAGAGGTCAAACTATACTATTCCAAACTAATATAGAAAAATCCAAAACTATAGTTCCAAAAACAATTTCTTGGTCTGACATAAGACTACTAGAATCATGGTTAATACACAATGACAACCAACCATCACAAATTCCAGTTCAAAACATTCTTGACAGGATTGTTGAACATATTAATGGGAATATCGAAATACTATTTCCAAATCACCTAAGTCGTTCTTATCAGAATGATTCAGTAGTATATGATAATCCAATAGATGAATATGTGAAATTAGAACCATCCAAAAAATCTGTCACAACATATGACAGACCACAAAGACCTACATCTAGAAATAGCCAACATCCTGAACCACAAATTCAAGGACTAGTGAGAACATCTGACTTTCAAAAAATAATGAATGATGTATTCAATCCTTATCATAAATTTATGATAGTCTACATTGATGATGTCTTAATATTCTCTGATTCTATTGATCAACATTTTAAACATATTAACACTTTTATCAATACAGTGAAACATGCTGGGTTAGTTGTTTCTGCGAAAAAACTTAATTTATTTCAAACCAAAATAAGAGTTTTAGGACATAATATTAACCTAGGTACTATTACTCCCATTGATCGATCTATTAAATATGTATATATATATATGGAAAAAACTCCTATAAGCCGGTTGGCTTACCTGTGAAAATACACCAAAAGACCCAGATTGAATCTAGGCTGATCTGACAATCACAGATGTCCGATAGTGTTTGAATTTTAAATTTTTTTTTTACATATTCAAATTACTTGAAATTTTAGGCATCTGTTTTTAAAAAATAGGTGAATCTACGAAAAATATCAAAAACATATTTTACAGGAAATAACTTGACAAAAATACCCTCGAAATGTTTTAGGGGTATTTTAGTCAATTTAATTTTTACGAATTATTTTTTTATATTTTTATTAGGTGTAGCTTGATGAGAAGAACACGCCTAAAATTTCAAGTGATTTGAATTTGTAGAAAAAAATAAATTCAAATACTATCGGACATTTGTGATCGTCAGATCGGCCCAGATTCAATCAAGACAGTTTGGCGTATTTTCATTAGTCAGCCAACCGGCTTACATGAGCTTTTGCATATATATATATATATATATATATAT